GTACAATTAATACTAAAATAAATAAATCAAAACAGGATAAAATATCAATAACAATCCAAGATATTTTGGTATTCTATTACTGTCATTGCAGAAATCTCAAAATAGCATTTACACTCATCACTACTTTGAAATAATGATAGTTGTTAGATTTACCAATCGATCTTATTACTTAATGTGTTAATAGGAAAGTGCCTAAAGTACTATAACAAATATTTTGATAATTGTATTTTAATGTAATAATTTTCCTTTGAATCTTGTGTATTATTTTTCTATATGCATAAATGCATTGTTTTGAAAATAATCACCTGACTATTAAAGAAGGGGTCAGTAGCACACACAAAATACATTCAGACATTCCTGTTAAAAAAAATCAGACCAGGCACGGGCTAACACCTATAATCCCAGCACTTTGGGAGGCAGAGGCAAGTGTATTGCCTGAGTCCAGGGGTTCGAGACCAGCCTTGGGCACCTTGGAGAGACCTCATCTCAAAATAAATCAAATAGTCAGGTGTGGTGGTGCACACCTGTGATTCCAGCTACTTGGAAGGCCAAGGTGGAAGGATCACCTAAGCCCAGCAGGTTGAGGTTGTGCCACTGCACTCCAGCCTGGGCAACAAGAGTGAGACTCCAACTCAAAAGAAAAAAAAAAAATCAGGTATAAATTTTTTTTAAAGAGAAGTGTTAATTTTCTAATCAATTGATAAATTTATAATAATATAGAATTCTTCAGATTTTCTGCTGTATCTTGTGTCAGTTTTGCTATGTTTTATTTTTTAAAGAATTTATTCATTTTATCTAAGTTAAAGTTGTCCACATATTCTCTTATTATCCTTTTAGTATTTATAAGATCTGTGATGATATACCTTCCTTATTCTTAATATAGGTATAAGTTATGTCCCTTGTCTTTGTTTTTTGATCATGCTAACTGAAGTTTATCCATTTGTTGATCTTTTAAAACAAGCAGTTTTTAACTTTGTTAAATTTCTCAATTGTTTTTCTGATTTCTATTCATATTACACCTTTCTTCTTTTCTAATACAAGCATTTAAAAGCTATACGTTAAACAACAGTTACAGTTGCTACAAATGTGTATGTTGTCCCTCAAGTCCATTTTTGGAAAAACTAATTTGAAATTTTAAAATGTGTGTTGAATGTCCACTGTGCAGAGCACACAGTGCTAGATGCTCTGTGGGTTGTGTATGTGTTTATGCCCTATGCAAACTTTCAACCTCACAGGAGTAATCGATTTACAAATGACTATAATACAGGGCAGTTTATAGAGCTAGCAAGAAGACACAGTCACAAAAAGTGAGGTGATGGATGTGTTAAATATCTAGATTTAGTAATTTCAAAATCTATACATGTGTCAAAATATCACATTGTATACTATAAATAGATATAATTTTTGTAAAAAGAAACCACCACAACATAGTGCTGGAAGAACCCTAGGGAAGGGACTGGTGTTTGGCCAGCCAGAGTGTGAAATGCCTGTTTGCTAACAGGCCGATGCTTCTGATGAACAGTGCCACAGCAGGAAATACATTCCTGAGTCATAAAGGAGCACTGGTGGTAAAGACTGGTATAATTTTGATGTAATTTTTTAAAGACTTTGGTTAATATATATTTTGTTATTTCCTCATAGTATAATTGTTTGAGAATGTATAGTCTTTGGAGACTATTAAATAGCAACCCCATTTAACTAGAAATTTACTCAGAATATTCTGCTCTTCAAGATGGTTTGGATAACACATTTTTAAGTTGTATGTAGATGATATAGTTCTACCAAATGACATTCTTTCATTTACTGCTTACATACTTTTGGAATGTACTTTATGAGATTAAAAATGACCTTGAATATGTATTTTGAAAATACAATAAATAAATGTTATAAATCTCCCTTTACGCACTACTTTAGCTACATTACACAGATTTTTAGAATTTTGTGTTTTCATTATTAGTCAGTTAAAATATTATCTAAATTCACCAGTGAGTTCTGCTTTCACACATGGTAACTTAGAAGGATGATATTTACTTCCCAAATTTTGGAAGATTTTACCTCGTATTTTTCACTGGTTATGGAAGTCTGGCTTGACAGTTTCCTTTCAGTGTCTTAAAGATGTTCCATTCATGGTGTTTTCTGAACACCACTGTCTCTATGATGTCATTTGTATCCTTGGTCCCCTGTCTATAGTATGTCTTTCTCTTTGGCAAAATTTTCTCTTTGCCTTTAGTTAGCAGTTCAAATGTGATGTACCTAGGTGTAGTTTTATTTTTTTTTTTCAGCAATGAAATTTTCAAAGCTATAAATCAAGATTTTTGAGTCATTATTTGTAATAAATTTTCCACTCCAATTAACTATTTGTTAGACTTTTAGATATTGTCCCACAGATACTGAGGCTTTTTTAAAAATATCTTTATTATTTCTGATCTTCAGGTTGAATAATTTCTATTGGTCTACTTTCAAGTTCAGTGATGACTTATCATCTCCATTCTTCTGTTAAACTTCCAGTATTTTTTCAAATATTTTATACCTTGGTTTTATAATTTTCAGCTGGTTCTTTTTCATAGTTATATTTCTCGACTGAGATTTTTAATTTGTTAGCTCATTGTAGGCATATTTTTCTTTACCTCCTTGAACATAGTTATAGCAACTGCTTTAATCTTTACCTGATAATTCCAACATCTGAGTCACCTAAGAGTCAAACTTTATTCAATTTTCTCCTGAACTGCCGGGGGGGCAGGGGGAAGGTAGGATTGGCAGTAGTGGGAAACTGACGGGGGGGGCACATCTCATCAACAAGGCACATCTCATCAACAAGGTACCTGTATAATGAACATTTGTATACCTAACCCTGAATTGTACCCCACATCTTTAAAATTTTTTAAAAAATTTTTAATTTAGTGTGAGACAAGGTCTCGCCAAGTTGCCGGGGCTGGCCTCAAACCTGCCAGCTCAGGTAATCCACTTGCCTCGGCCTCCCAAAGTGCTCGGATTACAGGCTGAGCATCCGAACCCAGCCAAAAATAAATTTTAAAAATAATAACAATAATAAATAAATTTTCTCCTGAATAGGGAATGCATTTTCTTGTTTCACATGTTTAGTAATTTGCAATTGCATCTTGTGAGTGATATATTCAATATACATGTTACACATTTTCGGTGAAATAATGTAAAGACTCTCTAGATTCTCTCACATTCCTCCAAAGAATATTGTGGAGCATTTGAAAGGTGTTTGTTGTTTTTGTTGTTGCTGTTTTAGCAGGCAGTTAATTTGCTTGAACTCAAACTCCTAATTCTATGTCCTTTGTGGAGTAATACAGCTAAAATCCTGCTCAATTATTTTAGCGCTAGCTACCTTATGCATGTGCAATTCACGGGTCAGCCAGAGATAGTAGCATATTTTATACCAGAATTTGGAGGTGTCCCTCTGTTGATTTTCTCCTTTCCTGTGTTGCTTTCCTATGGCTGCCATAACAAAGTATCACAAACTGGGTGACTTAAAACAACAAATTTATTCTCTCACAGTTCTGGAGACTGTAAGACCAAAATTAAGGCATTGGCAAAGTTGGTTTCTTCTGGAGGCTCTGAGGAAGAGTTTGTTCTATGCCTGTCTACCAGCTTCTGGTGATTGACAACAATATTTGGCATTCCTTCGTTTATGGTTGCACACTCTGATCTCTGCCCCTATCCTCACGTAGACACCTTCCTTCTTTGTGTCTGTGTCCACATTTCTCTATTTTAATAAGAATATCAGTCACTGGATTAGGGCCAATCCAAATCTAGTATGACTTCATCTTGAGTTTACTACATCTGCAAAGATTCTATTTCCAAATAAGTTTGCATTCACAGATTCTGAGTGGACATAAATTTTTGGTGGACACTTTTCACCCATTATATTCCCCTACTTTCCAGTTGCAGTGGTAGCCTCAAACTCTGTCCTCTGAGTCGTTAGGCCATTAAGACTACAGATTTTCACCCAAATTTTAGCTGCTACTAGCATCGCTGAGTAGGTTGCTCTTAGGCAAAAAAAAAAAAAAAAAACCCACAAAGCCCAGAAATTCACAGTGCTGTTCCTTTCTCCTAAAAATCAAATTCTCTTCAGATTTTGTCTGCTTTTATTTACCCTACCATGCCCCTAGCAGATGTCTCTTTAAATCTTTTTAATAGTTCATAGCTACTCTCAGTGGGAGGGTTAGTCTAACAGAACTACTTCATCACAACTACAATGGAATTACCTGTTTTTCTGACCAACTGCATAGGACAAAAAAATGACATTTTGCTTCATGTTAAATAATAGATATGAGGTATGTTATATTTTAAAACCATTATTTTATTTATAATACATTAAATTATTTTTCCACATTAGATAGATGAACGTTTTATTAAGCAACAAAACATTCATTCTAATCACAAAGTGGGTCTGGTGTCTGATGAATAAAATATAAACAAGAGTAACACATTTATTACTTAATGTTTTAATTACCGCTCTAAGTGCTTTATATGTATTATCTCAGAAATCTTCGCATCAATACTACAATTTAAGCAGTAGTTTTACAGATGATTAACTCTCATCTGTGACTCAAACCTGTGTGCCACTGCTCTCCAACCTGGGCGACGGAGTGAAACCCCGACTCAAAAACAAAAAAAATTGAGTAAACTGAGGCCCTGAGAGGTTAAATAATCTGTTGAAGTTACGTAACTATGCTATACTGCCTCTTAAAAACACAAATTTTTGGTCAACCGCACGCAGCAGTGGCAGTGTCAAGAGCCCGGGCGCGTGAGCGGGGTCCCCAGGGCCCGCTCTCCATCACCCGCTGGCTCCACTCTTCCTCCCCAAGCCGGGACCCATGCAAATCAGCCTGCTCAGTTCAGGGCAATACGAATCACTTTCGCGCCACTCGCTCAGGACCGCGCAGTTGCGTGGAGATCGGTCCTGGGAGCCCCCAAAGCGTCTTTCCAAAGCGAATTTTAGGAGTGTCTGAGGCTGTCCTTGAGCAAAAGGATCGCAGAGTAAAGTTCAAGAAATTCAGATATGTGAAGTTGATTTCCATGGAAACTGCGTCATCCTCTGATGACAGTTGTGACAGCTTTGCTTCTGATAATTTTGCAAACACGAGACTACAGTCAGTCCGGGAAGGCTGTCGCACACGCAGCCAAGGCAGACACTCTGCACCCCTCAGGGTAGCCATGAAGTTTCCAGCGCGAAACAGCAGGGGAGCGGCCAACAAGAAAGCAGAGTCCCCCCAACCTTCAAATAATTCTGTGACCAATTCTAATTCTGATTCAGAAGAAGAAAGCGGCATGAATTTTTTGGAGAAAAGTGCTTTAAATATAAAGCAAAAACAAAGCAATGCTTGCAAAACTCATGTCAGAATTAGAAAGTTTCCCTGGCTCATTCCCTAGAAGACATTCCTTTCCAGGTCCCAGTTCACAACTGAAGAGACCCCGCAGGCGAACGTTCCCAGATGTCGCCTCCAGGAGAAACCTTGAACGGAGAGCTCGCCCTCTCACCAGGTCGAGGTCCCGGATCCTGGGGTCCCTTGGTCCTCTACCCATGGAGGAGGAAGAGGAAGAGGAAGAGGATAAGTACATGTTGGTGAGGAAGAGGAAGACCATAGATGGCTACATGAACGAAGACGACATGCCCAGAATTCGTCGCTCCAGGTCACCCATGACCCTTCCGCATATAATTCGCCCAGTGGAAGAAATTACAGAGGAAGAGTTGGAAAACATCTGCCAACACTTCTCGAGAGAAGATCTATAACCGTTCGCTGGGCTCTACTTGTCATCAGTGCCGCCAGAAAACGATTGATACCAAAACAAACTGCAGAAACCCAGACTGCTGGGACGTTCGAGGCCAGTTCTGTGGCCCCTGCCTTCGAAACCGTTACGGTGAAGAGGTCAGGGATGCTCTGCTGGATCCGAACTGGCACTGCCCACCTTGTCGAGGGATATGCAACTGCAGTTTCTGCCGGCAGCGAGATGGACGGTGCGCCACGGGGGTCCTTGTGTATTTAGCCAAGTACCATGGCTTTGGGAATGTGCATGCTTACTTAAAAAGTCTGAAACAAGAGTTTGAAATGCAAGCGTGATACCTGGAAGATTCACTGCCTGCCTTCCACTTCTCCATTCTTATTAAAGTTTTCATTTTTGTCACTGATTGAAACCTGACTTAAGCATTTTAGTGACCAGTCTGTTTTACAGGAACTCCAGATTAATCTTACTAGACTCACATGTTTCTGGAGCGTTGCAAAAAGTATATTGCTACTTACACTTGGTCCTCTTGCGGTTTCTCCTCTGCTCCCTGTAACCCCACCTCATATCCTTCCCCTCTACTTCCAACGGTCTTCTCCTGCCTCTTGGTTTCTGAGTTCTTTTTTAAATGACAATTTTACACAAGCATAGTTGATTTAGTCTGTATTGAAACAGCCCTGGAATCCACTCATAAAATTCAAGCACTTAGAAACACAGCAGTAGTGTTAACTAACTAGATTTATTGAATTTCAGAGAACAGCCCTCTAACTTGTTTACACAAAAAGCATGGGTATGATTTAGTGTTCATACTGATGGACATTTTTAGCAAAATCAAGGTGCACCCAAGTCTTAAACTCATGTGGACAAATTAGAGAATGGTTGCAAAGTGTAGTATCTTACTTAAGATGCCTTTTGTGAGAATAGTCCACGGATTGTGCTTATTATACAAGTTGTCACTGTGGAGACTTAGCAGCTGCCAAGGTCTTCTGCCCCATGGTTCAGTGGACATCTCGCTTACACAGTCATCCAGAGGTGTGTGGACAGTGCTATATAAAATCGTTTTAGAAAGGACATCCTGGGAAATTAGGATGATGAAACTTCAGGAGTAGGCTGATTTGAATGCTTGGTACAAGGCTTGAGTATGATTATAGTTTGTCAAGTTTATTTAAGAACATATGTAAAGTATTTTAGATAAATTCTTGGACCACTTTGCAGGGAAGCTTGATATTAATAATTAGTCAATGCTTCATTGTAGTTTCTTGAAGAAATTATAAGTAAGGCACCGGGCTCGTGCATAGGTTTTAAGCACTTTGGTAACATTGAGAAGTGCCTTTTTGGAGATGGGTAACTTTCAACCATTTGCTAACTTGGCATCTCTGCCAGTTTAATATCTGGGCAGATTTCCTGTGTGGCTCCTCCCCTTCTTCCTCTTTTGCATTAATCAGATCATTTGGTGAGGTAGTGGTGAGGTGGAATCGAAGCGTTTGTCTGTATAGCCTGTTGCTATGCCCAGTCAGTGTTTGATGTGTCATTGGACCTTCAGTCAATACATGTAAATACAGCTTTGGATCTGTAATGCTTTTATACAAAGGTTTTTATTTTAATAATAAAATGTTTTGTTCTAAAAAAAAAAAACACACAAATTTTTGGCCAGACTTGGTGGCTTAGTCTGTAATCCCAGCACTTTGGCAGGCCGAGGCGAGTGGATTGCATGAGCCCGTGGGTTAGAGATCATCCCAGGCAACTTGGAGAGACATCGTATCTACAATAAATCAAAAATGAGTCAGGCATGGTAGTGCACGCCTGTAGTTCCAGCTACTCAGAAGCCTTAGGCAAAAGGATGGCCAGAGCCCAGCAGGATGACGCTGGGGTGGCCATGAGTGTGCTACTGCACTCTAGCCTGGAAGACAGAGTGAGATTCCAACTCAAAAATAAAAAATAAGCCGGGCTCAGTGGCTCAACCTGTAATCCCAGCACTTTGGGAGGCTGAGGTGAGTGGATTGCCTGAGCCCGCAGGTTTGAGACCTGCATGGGCAACTTGACGAGACCTCATCTCTACAATAAATCAAAAAAAATTAGCTGGGCGTGGTAGCACGTGCCTGTAGTTCCAGCTTCTTGGAGGGCTGAGGCGGAAGGATCGCCGGAGCCCAGCAGGTCGAGGCTGCGGTGGCCGGGAGCGGCCACCGCACTCCAGTCTGGGTGACAGAGTGAGACTCCAGCTAAAAAAAATAATAAATAAATAAATAAATAAATAAAAATAAAAAATAAAAACACAAATTTTTATCTCCGGTACTATCTTGAATCATTATTGACCACAGAAAAAGTGTTATTTATAAGGCTGCATTAGTTTAACATGTTGTGTGAAGTAAATAGCTAAATAGAAATAAAAAGTTGAAATTATAGGATTTTATTCAATATAATAGCCTGAGTTTAGAATCAAATTTGATTTCATAATTTGTGATTTTTAGTATGTATTGCTAAAATATCAGAAACTCTTTATGCATTAAAATAAGCTCCAGAAATCTCAGGCTTGTACATTCTTCTTTTTCATTTTTTATCTGCAAGGCAAGATGTAATTAGCGAATATTCCTCAACTAGTCACTTATATTTTATATTATAACTTTACTCTTACCATTAAGAAAAATCTGTGTGTGTGTGTGTGTGTGTGTGTATGTGTCAGATGTTTACTCTTATCATAAACATGACATGCTGTAAGACATGAGCAAGTGTGTACATAAGCAAAATAGTGATTTCCTTAACTTGACTCACCATGGTACCCTAGAGATTAGTACTGTTACTGATTTCACAGGTCTCTTGTGCATGTGAATTTCCATGAGATTCTATTCAACTGGGGCAACTAAGAAGAAAGAACAATGTCCCTCTATACAAGGTGAGTTTTGCATTGTCCCACACATAGCCTGCTGATGGCTGTGGGATGGCAAAGTCATCTTCATTAGACGGAATTTAATAGTGAATCAAAGTTCTTGTGGAGAATAGACTGATCTAAACTTTAGCCTCCCCTGGGTCCTGCTGAAAGATTAGAGGGAAAGAGTAGGGCCTTAGTAAGTTGAATGTATCAGATTGTTTTTCACTAATAGTTCTCTTGTAAAACTGAAAACCACCCACTTTAACCCTTTAAAAAAGGAGAAAGAAAAAGGCATAGAATGGGGGAGGAAAAAAAAACTCAGATACACGGGCACTGAGTTCATTGATTTTTGAGATGTGCTGTTATCCCTGTAGCAAGTTCCTCTGTTTTGAGTATGTGCATATGACCAAAATGCGTCCAACAAAATGAAAGCTTTCCTGCTATATATAAGTGTCTATACCAACTGCCACAATGCTATACCTTTAATAAAGAATTTACCAAATTGAATGATCATTAGTTTTGCTTTAAGTTTGGTTCTATAATTAGAGATTCTAAAATTCAACCGAAGGATACCGTTCTTTGATTAAAATCTTTTCCAAAATATTGGAAATCCCGGAAAAGTTAATGGTGGAAGAAAAAGGAGGAGCAGCACAGGTAAAATGCATCAACCAGCACTTGTACGACAGGATCAGACATAGTTAACAAGAAAAAAGAAAGGAGAAACAAATGTGTTAGGTGATCTTTAGTCTAAAGAAATCTCTGTTGGGCAACTGGGCATTTTGCTCCTTGCCTTTTATTTCCAACTTCCTTTCAAAGAATTCGTTAAGTGAAAAGAGAGATGATGGCAGCTCAATATATCAAAGCTCAGTTATCAGTTGGCCTGTTCTAGTATCTTTAGTCTTTTGTGGATGCCTTATGATGTGCTGTGTGGAAACACTGGAAAGTTAATCTTATATCAGTGATTGCCACGTAAATGTTAAGGAGTCCGAAAAAAATCACAAAACAGAAATTGTTACTGTCTTGTATATAAAGTGACACTGATAAGGATTAATGTATCCAAAAAGATTTGGGTTTGTTTCTTTTTCCTTTTCCTTTTGAGGGAAGAGAGTGGAGAAAGGATTGATTTATTTTTTTCATACAGTGAGAAGGAAGGCATAAGAGAAGGAAAAGTCATAATGGAAATTTTTCCATGATCAGTTCTTTAGTACTGCCTGTGAATATGTTGTCCTAGTTAATGACAAAAAATAAATATAAAGCTTACTACCACTACAAAAAAGTCTGTTTCCTTTTATGTGATATTTTTATTTTTAAAAATTAATGGGAGCTATTAAAAGTTAAAAACCTCATGTTAAAATCAAAATACACCTTTTGGGGGAAGAAATGTCACACTTCTGCTAAATCTCTAATAGACAGACTTTAGAAACTCTTGAAAGATGGTGTATTGGTCAAGGTCTCCCCAAGCAGCTAACTTCCTCTGGGATCCTGACGAGAATGGAATGAAGGTTCTGCTTTCAGCAGTACAGGCAAGACTAAAGGAACCAGTAAGAGAGGAGTCAATCAGGGTCTAATAAGAGCAGGAATACATGACTACCCCCCTAAGGATACCGGGCAAATAGAGAAAGCAGTTCCAGACCAAGTGAGAGATCCGCCACGAGAGAAGGCACAGTCACACAGCTGAAGCCAGAGGGAACAAGGAAGAAACACTCTGATTTCTTGCTCCTCCTGTCTGCTTATTTCCTGCCGTGCCTCCCGGAGCCAAACTCTACCAAAAGTCAGAAGACAAACTCAGTGATGCTGTCTTTGAGAATCGGCACCATCAGCACTGTTGGTTTCACAGGCTTAGGGCACAGAACAGAGCGAAAACAGAAAGAAAATGGATGGCGGGGGTTCCAAACACAGAACGACCAACCAAGATCATGAAAGAGAAATCACTTCCTATCTGGAGGAAGAGAAAGAAAAGAAAGCCTGAGTCACAGACTTCAAAACGCAAATATGTGAGGAGTCAGTTTCCTGTAACTAAGATTTGATTCCTGACTAGACTCAGTAATGATACCTTAACTGTGATGGATCACAGGCTTAATAGAATTTACCATTAAGAAAAATGTTTTAGAAAGGGAATTTTTAAAAAGATAAACAAGAAGATCTTCCTCATAGATGAATTTATCCATAGCAATCACAAGTGTAATCTGTTCTATACTAGTTAACCACACTGATTCTAGTTTTTATCTTGGTATATCTATATGAATTACTGTCTTTATATATCTGTATTAGGTAGTATGATGTTTTTTCTTCAAAATCATTTTTATTTTCTCCTTGGAATGTGTCAAAACTGGAAGCATTATATATTGATTTTAGTCTGAAACACTTCTCAACAGGGGAGAACACATGGCAACATGGCCATGAAATAACATTTATGTGAAATGCTTCCTCAGAAGAAAGAGTATATATATGTCATACATTATAACATTTTAG